AGAGTGACTAAATCACCGTATTAACTGAAAGAAAAACAGCAAAAGTTCTTTATTATATGATTCAATAATTAAATGAGATAAACTCGGTAAGAAAATCCTTTCCACGTCCCTTGATTGTTTGCATTTGGTGAAGTAATGTCCGAATGAGTGGATGAAACAAGCAAAGTAAACTGAATTAAATTAGAATTTCTTCACCTGTTCTTGATGTGATGCAGATTTTAAAAATGTGTTCACTTGAAAGTTGGGTGCAGATGAAATAACTTTTCATAACCAATTGCATCAATTTTAGATGATCTCGATCAATTTTTGGTCCAATGTAGAAAAATAAAATAAGTAAATGTTATGTTCCCCTAGAAGGTCGGGTGGCCGTGAAACACTATCATAACTAATGACACGATGCACATGAAAAAGGGTTGTATTTTATTTAAATTTTTAACTCATGCAAACTATATGAAATTCTAAAAATGCTCAAAATTACTATGATGTAAATACAGGGTATTTCTTCGTATTTATCATTTTGTTAAAGGCATCAATTCTCTTAGAGAGCAACACTTCAATTAAAGAAATCATTAACATTTAAAAGATGAAGAATAATTGCTCCTTAAGAAATATTGTTGCTCGCATTAATTCAAATTGAATTGATGATATCATTAATTCAATTGAGGAGAACAATAGTATCATTATTAGGCGAATTTTCTGATTTGTTGTATGCAATAATATGGAACTTATTCCACGAATGGGACATGCTTGGTTCTTTTTTTCGGGAGACAGGATTCCCCCCCCCCCTCCCCATCTTCACTCGTGTCTTGCACTTGTGAAAATATGAAGAAAATTTTTTTTATCACGAAATATTTGACTCATGGGACAGAATTATCTCTATAGTTTCACGCGTGAATCCCACTGATCAAAATAAAACAAGGATTCTGAAATAAATTCCATATCCAGCTAAAACAAAACATTTTCTATTTACATATACAGCTTCTGAAGCAACGACATCAACTGAAGCTGAACCATCAACAAAGGATGAAACAACTACTGAAGATGAAACATCACAAACTACAACAGCAACAACAAAGGTTGATACAACCACAAAACAAGATGAAATAACAACAACACAATATGAAACAAGGCCAGCTCAAGCTGAAACAACAACTACACAAGTAGAAACAACTACTACACAAGTTGACACGACAAAACGAGGTAAAACACCACACAAGCTGATACAACAATAAATTAATGAAAACAGTGTAACAAAGATTGACATGGTCCGCAAACTTCTCGAACAGCCCTCATTTATGCACCTGTATGTTTGTAAATGTTGTCTTTGAGATGTTTGTTTCTTAATAATCTAAACTGTCGAAGTCCTACCCGAACGCAGTGATTACAAAAATAATCGGAACTAAATGATCAAAATGGAAGTTCCAGATCTATTTTTAGTCCATTGTAAATACCTGGGAGGTCTGGAGCAGGCAAACATAACCACTGTAACAGGTCCGAATTTCCCGATCTATTTTTAGTCCAATGTAGAAAAAAATATGCTTATCTTCACCTGTAAGGTCTCATGCAGGAAAAACAAAGTTTAGTATGATTTTTAGATTGTTGGATCTCAGCCAATCCGAGAGCTAGGAATTCATCATATAATAATATAAATTATTGTTGTTTTTGAGGCCAATATGATGTTTAAGCCACCAGAGATGCACAAAAGTAGCCGATCCCAAAGGGCGAGTAGTGTGATACGAGAGTGAGTGACTAAATCACCGTATTAACTGAAAGAAAAACAGCAAAAGTTCTTTATTATATGATTTAATAATTAAATGAGATAAACTCGGTATGAAAATCCTTTCCACGTTCCTTGATTGTTTGCATTTGGTGAAGTAATGTCCGAATGAGTGGATGAAACAAGCAAAGTAAACTGAATTAAATTAGAATTTCTTCACCTGTTCTTGATGTGATGTAGATTTTAAAAATGTGTTCACTTGAAAGTTGGATGCAGATGAAATAACTTTTCATAACCAATTGCATCAATTTTAGATGATCTCGATCAATTTTTGGTCCAATGTAGAAAAATAAAATAAGCAAATGTTATGTTCCCCTAGAAGGTCGGGTGGCCGTGAAACACTATCATAACTAATGACACGATGCACATGAAAAAGGGTTGTATTTTATTTAAATTTTTAACTCATGCAAACTATATGAAATTCTAAAAATGCTCAAAATTACTATGATGTAAATACAGGGTATTTCTTCGTATTTATCATTTTGTTAAAGGCATCAATTCTCTTAGAGAGCAACACTTCAATTAAAGAAATCATTAACATTTAAAAGATGAAGAATAATTGCTCCTTAAGAAATATTGTTGCTCGCATTAATTCAAATTGAATTGATGATATCATTAATTCAATTGAGGAGAACAATAGTATCATTATTAGGCGAATTTTCTGATTTGTTGTATGCAATAATATGGAACTTATTCCACGAATGGGACATGCTTAGTTCTTTTTTTCGGGAGACAGGATCCCCCCCCCCCCTCCCCCATCTTCACATGTGTCTCGCACTTGTGAAAATATGAAGAAAATTTTTTTATCACGAAATATTTGACTCATGGGACAGAATTATCTCTATAGTTTCACGCGTGAATCCCACTGATCAAAATAAAACAAGGATTCTGAAATAAATTCCATATCCAACTAAAACAAAACATTTTCTATTTACATATACAGCTTCTGAAGCAACGACGTCAACTGAAGCTGAAATCTCAACAACACACGATGCTACAGCAATACAATCTTCATTCACATCTAAACAGGCTTCAACAACAACAACAACAACACAGGCTGTGATCCTGACAACACAGGCTGCAACTACAACAACACAGGCTATAAAAACAACACAAGCTGCAACCACAACAAAACAAGCTCCAATCACTGCAACCCAGGCTGCAATAACGACAACGTCTTTAAGAACAACATCAACACAAGCTCCAACCTCAACTACACAGGCTGCAACCACAACAACAACACATATTCCAACCACAACAATGAGGGCCTCAACTGCAGAAACACAGTCTCCATCAACAACAACACAGACTGTAACCACAACAACAAATGCTGCAACCACAACCACACAAGCTCAAACTTCAACAACACAAGCTCCAACCACAACCATTTACACTGCAGCAATATCAACACAGCCTTCAAGAACAACATCAACACAATCTTCAACCTCAACAACACAGGCTGCAACAACAACAACACAAGCACCAACCACAACTACACAAGGTGCAGAAACAAGTACACGAATAACAACCATAACAAGTGCTCCAACTACAGCAGAAAATCTTGCAAGCACAAACACACAAGCTCAAACCTCAACAACACAAGCCCCAACTACAACCATTTACACTGCAGCAACATCAACACAGCCTTCAAGAATAACATCAACACAATCTTCAACCACAACAACACAGGCTGCAACAACAACAACACAAGCACCAACCACAACTACACAGGGTGCAGAAACAAGTACACGAATAACAACCATAACAAGTGCTCCAACTACAGCAGAAAATCTTGCAAGCACAAACACACAAGCTCAAACCTCAACAACACAAGCCCCAACTACAACCATTTACACTGCAGCAACATCAACACAGCCTTCAAGTACAACATCAACACAATCTTCAACCACAACAACACAGGGTGCAACAACAACAACACAAGCACCAACCACAACTACACAGGGTGCAGAAACAAGTACACGTATAACAACCATAACAATTGCTCCAACTACAGCAGAGAAACTTGCAAGCACAAACACACAAGCTCAAACTTCAACAACACAAGCTCCAACTACAATAATCCACACTGCAGCAACAACAACACAGCCTTCAAAAGCAACATCAACACAAACTCCAACCACAACTTCACAGGCTGCAACAACAACACAAACACCAACTGCAACATCTAAGTCTCCAACCACAACAACAGAGGTCGCAGACACAACAAATGCGGTAACCACAACCACACAAGCTCAAACTTCAAGAACACAAGCTCCAACTACAACCATTTACACTGCAGCAACATCAACACAGCCTTCAAGTACAACATCAACACAATCTTCAACCACAACTTCACAGGCTGCAACAACAACAACACAAGCACCAACCACAACTAAACAAGGTGCAGAAACAAGTACACGAATAACAACCATAACAAGTGCTCCAACTACAGCAGAAAATCTTGCAAGCACAAACACACAAGCTCAAACTTCAACAACACAAGCCCCAACTACAACCATTTACACTGCAGCAACATCAACACAGCCTTCAAGAATAACATCAACACAATCTTCAACCACAACAACACAGGCTGCAACAACAACAACACAAGCACCAACCACAGCTACACAGGGTGCAGAAACAAGTACACGAATAACAACCATAACAAGTGCTCCAACTACAGCAGAAAATCATGCAAGCACAACCACACAAGCTCAAACTTCAACAACACAAGCTCCATCTACAACAATCCACACTGCAGCAACAACAACACAGCCTTCAAAAGCAACATCAACACAAACTCCAACCACAACTTCACATGCTGCAACAACAACACAAATACCAACTGCAACAACTAAGTCTCCAATCACAACAACAGAGGTCGCAGACACAACAAATGCGGTAACCGAAACCACACATGCTCAAACTTCAACAACACAAGCTCCAACTACAACCATTTACACTGCAGCAACATCAACACAGCCTTCAAGTACAACATCAACACAATCTTCAACCACAACAACACAGGCTGCAACAACAACAACACAAGCACCAACCACAACTACACAGGGTGCAGAAACAAGTACACGAATAACAACCATAACAAGTGCTCCAACTACAGCAGAAAATCTTGCAAGCACAAACACACAAGCTCAAACTTCAACAACACAAGCTCCAACTACAATAATCCACACTGCAGCAACAACAACACAGCCTTCAAAAGCAACATCAACACAAACTCCAACCACAACTTCACATGCTGCAACAACAACACAAACACCAACTGCAACAACTAAGTCTCCAATCACAACAACAGAGGTCGCAGACACAACAAATGCGGTAACCGAAACCACACAAGCTCAAACTTCAACAACACAAGCTCCAACTACAACCATTTACACTGCAGCAACATCAACACAGCCTTCAAGTACAACATCAACACAATCTTCAACCACAACAACACAGGCTGCAACAACAACAACACAAGCACCAACCACAACTACACAGGGTGCAGAAACAAGTACACAAATAACAACCATAACAAGTGCTCCAACTACAGCAGAAAATCTTGCAAGCACAAACACACAAGCTCAAACTTCAACAACACAAGCTCCAACTACAACAATCCACACTGCAGCAACAACAACACAGCCTTCAAAAACAACATCAACACAAACTTCAACCACAACTTCACAGGCTGCAACAACAACAGAAACACTAACCGCAACATCTAAGTCTCCAACCACAACAACACAGGTGGCAGACACAACAAATGCGGCAACCACAACCACACAAGCTCAAACTTCAACAACACAAGCTCCAACCACAACCATTTACACTGCAGCAATATCAACACAGCCTTCAAGAACAACATCAACACAAGCACCAACCACAACTACACAGGATGCACAAACAAGTACACGAATAACAACCATAACAAGTGCTCCAACTACAGCAGCAAATCCTGCAAGCACAACCACACAAGCTCAAACTTCAACAACACAAGCCCCAACTACAACCATTTACACTGCAGCAACATCAACACAGCCTTCAAGAATAACATCAACACAATCTTCAACCACAACAACACAGGGTGCAACAACAACAACACAAGCACCAACCACAACTACACAGGGTGTAGAAACAAGTACACAAATAACAACCATAACAAGTGCTCCAACTACAGCAGAAAATCTTGCAAGCACAAACACACAAGCTCAAACTTCAACAACACAAGCTCCAACTACAATAATCCTCACTGCAGCAACAACAACACAGCCTTCAAAAGCAACATCAACACAAACTCCAACCACAACTTCACAGGCTGCAACAACAATACAAACACCAACTGCAACATCTAAGTCTCCAACCACAATAACAGAGGTCGCAGACACAACAAATGCGGTAACCACAACCACACAAGCTCAAACTTCAACAACACAAGCTCCAACTACAACCATTTACACTGCAGCAACATCAACACAGCCTTCAAGTACAACATCAACACAATCTTCAACCACAACAACACAGGCTGCAACAACAACACAAGCACCAACCACAACTACACAGGGTGCAGAAACAAGTACACGAATAACAACCATAACAAGTGCTCCAACTACAGCAGAAAATCTTGCAAGCACAAACACACAAGCTCAAACTTCAACAACACAAGCTCCAACTACAATAATCCACACTGCAGCAACAACAACACAGCCTTCAAAAGCAACATCAACACAAACTCCAACCACAACTTCACATGCTGCAACAACAACACAAACACCAACTGCAACAACTAAGTCTCCAATCACAACAACAGAGATCGCAGACACAACAAATGCGGTAACCACAACCACACAAGCTCAAACTTCAACAACACAAGCTCCAACTACAACCATTTACACTGCAGCAACATCAACACAGCCTTCAGGTACAACATCAACACAATCTTCAACCACAACAACACAGGCTGCAACAACAACAACACAAGCACCAACCATAACTACACAGGGTGCAGAAACAAGAACACGAATAACAACCATAACAAGTGCTCCAACTACAGCAGAAAATCTTGCAAGCACAAACACACAAGCTCAAACTTCAACAACACAAGCTCCAACTACAATAATCCACACTGCAGCAACAACAACACAGCCTTCAAAAGCAACATCAACACAAACTCCAACCACAACTTCACATGCTGCAACAACAACACAAACACCAACTGCAACAACTAAGTCTCCAATCACAACAACAGAGGTCGCAGACACAACAAATGCGGTAACCGAAACCACACAAGCTCAAACTTCAACAACACAAGCTCCAACTACAACCATTTACACTGCAGCAACATCAACACAGCCTTCAAGTACAACATCAACACAATCTTCAACCACAACAACACAGGCTGCAACAACAACAACACAAGCACCAACCACAACTACACAGGGTGCAGAAACAAGTACACAAATAACAACCATAACAAGTGCTCCAACTACAGCAGAAAATCTTGCAAGCACAATCACACAAGCTCAAACTTCAACAACACAAGCTCCAACTACAACAATCCACACTGCAGCAACAACAACACAGCCTTCAAAAACAACATCAACACAAACTTCAACCACAACTTCACAGGCTGCAACAACAACAGAAACACTAACCGCAACATCTAAGTCTCCAACCACAACAACACAGGTGGCAGACACAACAAATGCGGCAACCACAACCACACAAGCTCAAACTTCAACAACACAAGCTCCAACCACAACTATTTACACTGCAGCAATATCAACACAGCCTTCAAGAACAACATCAACACAATCTTCAACCACAACAACACAAGCTGCAACAACAACAACACAAGCACCAACCATAACTACACAGGGTGCAGAAACAAGTACACGAATAACAACCATAACAAGTGCTCCAACTACAGCAGAAAATCTTGCAAGCACAACCACACAGGCTCAAACTTCAACAACAAAAGCTCCAACTACAACAACCACACAGGCTGCAGCAACAACAACACAGCCTTCAAAAACAACATCAACACAAACTCCAACCACAACTTCACAGGCTGCAACAACAACACAGACTCCAACCACAATACAGACTCCAACCACAACAACACAGGTCGCAGACACAACAACAAATGCTGCAACCATAAGCACACAAGCTCCAACTTCAACAAGAAAAGTTCCATCCACAAGGACAGAGGATTCAACAACAATAATAACACAGGCTGCAACCACAACAACACAGACTGCAACCAAAACAACCAGAGATGCAACTTTATCATCACAAGCCCCTACAACAACCACACAGGCTGCATCAACAACAAAAAGTCCAACCACAACAACACTGGCTGCAACTTCACAAACCCCATCCACACAGGCTGCAACAACAACAACACAAGCTATAACAACAACATATTTTCCAACCACAACTACAGAAGATGTATGTGCTAACATCAGTTGTCAAAATGGTGGAGTTTGTGTCCGAGGGAGTGGTTGTCAGTGCAATGGGAACTATACAGGAAACACATGTCAGTATGGTAAGAGTTCTATAAATATATTAATCCAAGCTACTTTATACTCACCAAGGGTAAGGCAACCATCTTGACTATGTATAATAGATATGCGGATTGATAAATTAATCAAGCGTTTCGAATAATGTTGATATATCTGCTTCAATGTTCAACAAGAATACATGTATTTTTAATATTATTAACCCAAAACTAATGATACACAAGACAAAATTGGTGATGTACCCCCATAAAAAAAAATTCAATATTTTAAAAATTTAGAGCTTTGGAAATTCGCTGTAAAAGATGTCAATTTCATTATTTTTAACCTCTAGGGGGCAAAAAATCAGTTTTCTATATTGTAAATTCGCTATATCCGAGTTCGTTATGTAAATTTACAAGGAATTGTTAAGAACTGTGCCGGGGATTCAAAATTAAATTTCGCTATAACCGTAAAGTCGCGATAACCGTATTTGTACATAACGAGTTTTACTGTAAAATGAAGCGTAATGATTGCATAGAAATGCAAGAATATCGCACTTTATGAGGAATTCATTTCTAATTTTTCCCTAGATTTGTGTTCTTTATGTTTGCATTAATAAAAAAAATCTGAAAAAAATCTGACAATCTATGCGATATTTGACCATAGAAAAGCTTTGTTGGGGCATTCAGTATGGTCTCAGCAAGATGTTTCTTTTGAGAGGATTTTAAATAGATTAAACAAATTAAATATTTATCTTTCTTCTAGTATAAATGCTGCAACTAGATTACTCAATATGAAAATGTTTTCTACGGGTGGCCACGACATTCAATATACATCACACAATAATTGCAAGACTGCCTCGTAAATCTGTGGCAAATCGAAAGTGTGGTGGACCAAAGTAGTGGTCCACTTCTAGGTGATAGGATAGAAATATCACTCTTCATTACCTGAAAAACAGGGAGACCACTGCTGTTGCAATCTCAATGACCACCGTCGGTAACTACCAATTTCATATTTATATCATGCAAAAACAGTGTACAATCGGCTTCGAAAAATTAGTTTGCGAGCAAGAAGGTCATTTGAGGATATTTTGATGACACCATGACATCGGCAAATCCCACTGCATTGGGAAAGATAGCGTATTAGATTTACTCATGTCGATTAGGCAAATGTTCTGTTTACATTATGTTGAGAATATTGAGTGGTGCGTTAGCAATATTGTCAAGTGTGTGTATACATGTACAAGATGAATGGTAAGATAAATACCAATTTTAAACTTATACTATTTCTTTATGAAATATACAGCCATACCAAGCTACACTTCATGGTCTGTTTGGGGTGCCTGTGATTCGGATTGTGGAGATGGGCTCCAAACAAGGACACGTAACTGTACTGATTTCACAGGAGCAGAGAGGGGAGGGGATTGTGGGAATGAACTGAAACAGGAAAAGGCGTGCGTTGGTTTACCAGCGTGTATTGGTAAGTAGTATGCTTTTATTCATGTATAAATCTGAAGTATCAGTTAGTGTAATTTATATACGGCTGTTACAAGTGAATAAATGGAATCTAAAAAGAACCCAACATTGACGGTTGCTTGCATGTTTGTGTTTGACTAATTCAGTGAAAGTATATGTTAAAAATGAAATATGGCAATAAACAATAAAATGAATATTTTTAAAGAGTCAACACCAAGAAATCTGTCTTTCTTGGTTTGTTTCTGTTATGTATACATGTACATTTTAAATTACAAATGTAGGTAGAAAAAAAATGAATGTATATATCGTGTTTCTATAGCAATTCTAGTTTGTTTTCTCTTGAAATTTATTTAAGGTCTTTGTGTTTGATTTTATTTGTATTTCAGTAAATAAAGCAAAATACACTTTAATTTTTAGTTTAAAATAATCTTGCAATGATAATTTCAAAGATTATAAAGCAAATTTGTACCTAGAATCATTTAAATTAAATTTCAAGCATGAGTTTTCTCTCCAGTACAAAGACTTTATACTAATTATGAGAACTACCCGTTTTTTTTTTCAATTATGCATAGCCTGTTTTAAAGTTTTTAATAATAAAAAGATTATCTTTTATATATATATATATATATATATATATATATATATATATATATATATATATATATATATATATATATATATATATATATATATATTTCTCATGATGACGCCATTAATGCCATATCCTCTCTCAAACCACTCGATCGATTGATTGATTGTATGTTGTTTAACGTCCCTCTCGAGAATTTTTCACTCATATGAAGACGCCACCACTTGCCGGTGGATAGCTGCAAATTTTGTCCTATACTCGGCACTTACGGCCATTGAGCAGTGAGGGATATCTTTTTCGTGCCAGCATCTACTGCGACACGGGACCTCGGTTTATACGGTCTTATCCGAAGGACCGGTCTCCACGTCCCACAGTGGGATTCGAACCCGCGACGTAAGGATCAACTCCTTTCTTCGCGACTCTAGAGCAGACACTCTAACCACTGCGCCACGCGGGCGACCCACTCGATCGAATCTCCTCGGGTGGCTTGTGTGTCTTTAAACTCGGACGTGAACGATGTTCTACCATTTTGCTGATACAATCATGTGATCAAAATAAAATACTGCAGTCATGCCATCCGTTCTTCATGGCTACGAACTGTGTAACCAAACAGTGAACCAAGGCGCCTTAACACACTGCAACAACTTCAAATAATATGCAAACAAGTTCTTAACCTTCCTGAACTTACCGAATCTGATATTTGCGAAAAATTCATGGGCATTCTACCAATCACGACAGAAACCGACGCCAGTAAACTTTCGGCAGACTTAGATTAGATATCAACACTGATCAATTATCTTTCAAATAGGATCTTAAATTATGTTTATTCTTCTTCCTTTACTAGCTAACTGTGAACCAAGTGAGATTCATTCCGAATGTCTTATCCCTCCTCAACACTTAACAACTTTCACAATTACTTAAATACCTGGCTCTCTACTGGATCATTTCCAAAAAAAAAAACATATGGAGATTTATAGTGCCTTCTCCCGTTTACCATAAACATGCATCGATCGAACAGAGATTGGCCCGGAGTTTTTCATAGTCGTTTCTGTATTCTGCATCTCCAAACCTATCCTCATGTGGAAACTTGTATACTTTTTTGGCGCAATTCAGAACCTATAATTTATTTGCAAACTTACTGTGTCAACATCCCCTCAAATTCCGTTCGCATGCGTTTAATGCGGTTAAGCTATTACAAACTTTTTTACCCTCGCATCATGCAGATCCTATCTGGTGTCATATTAGCCCGAAATATCTGACATTTTCCAGGCTTTTACGATTTTGATAGCCCGCGTGGCGCAGTGGTTAGAGCATTTGCTCTAGAATCGTGGGGTAAGGAGTTAATCAGTTTGAATCTCACTATAGGACGTGGAGACCGGTCCTTCTGATGAGACCGTATAAAATAACCGAGGTCCCTTGTCGCAGTTGGTACTGGAAAAAAATATCCCTCTCTACTCAAAGGCCCCGATTGCCGAGTACAGGTCTGAATTCGCAGCCCTCTACCGTCAAGTGGTGGCATCTCAATATGAATGAAAATTTCTCGAAGGGAAGTTAAACAAATAAACAAAACAAACGATTTTGAAAACGTGCCAGGAAAACGTTGTTTTCCTGGCAAGTTGAATAATAAACTAAAGTTGTTTTCCTGCATATGGCACGTTAAATATCAAAATCGCAAAAAAGCCCCGAAAACTCCAGATACTTGGATTAGTATCGCATTTACTAACCGTTCCTGGCATTATAATTTCGCGTTCCGGTCGGAACCTAAATAATACAATGTATTAACTCTGGGACTTGTGCATTCTATAACAGGCTTTGCAAGTGTTCTTTCTGACATATTTCATTTTATCTGTCTCGTTAGTTATCTTACAGATTTTACTGGATACAGTGAAATATGTTGGAAAGGATACGAGCATGATTTGAACAATGAATCCAATTGCCTGACCAACCTTCGCTTTAAATAATGCCTGACCAACCTATATATATATATATATATATATATATATATATATATATATATATATATATATATATATATATATATATATATATATATATATATATATATATATATATATATTAGGGATGGCAATTTGTAACCGGTTAACCGATTACTCGGTCGGAACGATGGCAATCGATTAGAAAATCTGTAATCGGTTAATCGGAAGAAATAAAATATTTGTTAAATTGAACACATTTTTAAAAAAATTATTAAGAAAAAAAAAAAAGAAATCATAATCATTTAGGATTTACCGGATCTTATTTGGACCTTCGTCTAAAGGTCATATGTATAGTATCTTCAAAACAGAATTTGGATTTGAAAAATATTTAGACTTACTACCTAAAAAATTTAGAACAATTTTAAGTAAATTAAGAACAGCAAATCATCGTCTCCCAGTTGAGACTGGGAGATGGTTTGGAATTCCCAAAAATGATAGACTCTGTAATATCTGTAATAATAGACAAATAGCAGAAGAGTATCACTATATTTTAGAATGTCAATTTTTCTCAGAATGCAGAAAAAAGTTTCTACCTAGTAAATATTGTAATAGACCAAATTTCTACAAATTCTCAGAATTGTTGTCAACTGCTGCATGACTCCAAGGTATTAATCAAACTATGCAGCTACATAGATAGGGTATATGAAGAAGTCTGTCCTCCATAATTAGGGTCTTCCGTCTCCAACGGAAGACCCTTCTATTATTGTATTGTTTCTTTTTCACTTTTATTATTATTATTCCACTTTTTCTTTACAATTTTTGTGCAGAAGATGTCTCACAAACGGTTCGATCGATTTTCATGAAATTTTCAGGGGTAATGCCTTTTGATCTGAAGATGATCCTTTTTTGTTCAAATCCTTAAAATTCACTTCCGGTCGGAAGTTATCGCCCTTTAATCGATTTTCAGATAACCATTTTGTCGGCACAAAAACTAAAAACGGCAAAAGCTAGAGAGCTGAAATTTTCAGCGATTATAGACTTCTTATAATACTTCTTTTGCTAATATCTCGGAAACGAAAAAGAATTTCTGAATAGTTGTTGAACAAAAAGTGTTCAAAATCATAAGAGCTTTAAAGTGATATAAAGAAAAAGGGGCTGCCCCCTCAAAAAGGGTCAAATAGGGGCCGAAATTCTTTAATTAAAAACTCTTTAACGATCAATATTTTGTAACACATTACTGAAGCAAAAATGTTTATCTCAACAATTTACAACTATATATTATGATATTTTTTATCATATGTTTCATAATTAGGGGCCATAAGGGGCCAGAATGCAAAATCTTTGACGCTTTATATCTCAAAAGTTGGAAATATTTTGATAAGCAATATTGAACAAAAGATGTTCAAAATAATGTTTTAAACAATATGCAACCTTTCATTTTTTGCTAAACATCCCTATTAAGGAGTTGAAGGGCCGGCCCTAAATACTTCTTTTGCCAAAATCTCGGAAACAGAAAAGAATTTCTGAATAGTTGTTGAACAAAGAGTGTTCAAAATCATAAGAGCTTTAAAGTGGTATGAAGAAAAAGGGGCTGGCCCCTCAAAATAGGGGCCGAGAGGGACCGAGAGTCTTTAATGAATAACTCTTTAACGATCAAAATTTTGTAATGCATTACTGAAGCAAAAATGTTTATCTCAATAATTAGCAACTATATATTATAATATTCACATCATATGTTACATAATTAAGGGCCATTAGGGGCCAGAATGCAAAATCTTTGACGCTTTATATTTCAAAACTGGGAAATATTTTGATAAGCAATATTGAACAAAAGATGTTCAAAATAATGTTCTAAACAATATGCAACCTTTCATTTTTTGCTAAACATCCCTATTAAGGAGTTGAAGGGCCGGCCCCTAAATGCTTCTTTTGCTTATATCTCGGAAACGAAAAAGAATTTCTGAATATTTTTTTAACAAAAAGTGTTTAAAATCATGAAAGCTTTAAGATGATATCAAAAAAGAGGGGCTGACCACTCATAAAAGGGGCCAAAATTGGCGGAAAGTCTTTCATCTATAACGCTTTAATGATCAGTATATTGTTACACATTACTGAAGCAAAATTGTACGTCTAAACAATTTTTTTGTGTTATTATATTTGAACGAAAATCTCATTCAAATTCTTATCTCATCTTATCAAAAATCGGACGGAAGACCCACTCGTTGCTCGCAACGAGATCGCATCTAGTTATTATTACTATTTTTTTTGTTACTTTATAATTTGAATGTATTTCCGCCATTTCACGTGTATCTTGTATATTGTTTTTGTATATATTGTACATAGAACCTCATGTACCATTAATTGGTTTGAGTGAGTAAATTGAACTTGAACTTGGACGTACATGTAATTATGAATCTCCAGATTGAGACCGTAGCGTAATTGGTCAGTTTATGTACATGTACAGTGTTAATTACTGTG